ATCTTCCACACTTTCATTTGTTATTAAGATTTGATCCACAATTTGTCTATTTTTCACAAAAGCACCTTGATTGGCGGAAATGATTGCGGGGAGAACCTCTCTAATTCTTCGAGATAAGACCTTGGCGATGATTTCGTAGAGGCTATTCACCAAACCGATGGGTCTGGACTCTTTTGGGTGGGAAGCTCCCTCCTTTTATGGAATTAATGCAAGAAAAGTAGAATTCAGACCTGGATTAATTATCCCTCTATCAAAGAATTCAGAGAAAACTCTTTGAATATCCTCCTTAAGTATCTCCCAACAAGTCTTTTCTTATTGCACCACATAGCAGTCTGTAAGGGCAAGCGTTGTTGCACCACATCCATAGCTCACTGCATTTCTCAGTTCTTGTCCTATGATCATTTGTCTTCCTTCTACAAGTCTTTTCTTGCATCCATTGCGGATATTCCCATTCCTAGAACAATACAGGAAGCATTAACAGTACCAGAATGGAAAGATGCAATAAAAGTAGAAATGGATGCCTTCATTAGAAACAATACCTAGGAAATAGTTGATCAACCCAAAGGAAAGAAACCGGTTGGATGTAGATGGGTATTCACTGTGAAACATAATGCTGATGGTTYTGTTRAMAGGTATAAGGCCCGATTAGTTGCAAAAGGATTTACTCAGACATATGGTATTGACTACTTAGAAACTTTTGCACCAGTAGCAAAGATGACCACTATTAGAGTCCTATTATCTCTTGCAGCTAGTTACTCTTGGCCATTGTATCAGATGGATGTTAAAAATGCCTTCCTCAATGGAGACTTGCAGGAAGAAGTTTACATGCAGTTGCCTCCTGGATTTTATGGTACGGAGACAGGAAAAAAGGTTTGTGATGGGCCCCCAATTAACTTTACGTATGCCAGGAAGGGGAAATGTCAGATTTTGGCTAAGGGGGGAAATAATTGAACATGGGGGCAATTATAGTTGGAGGGAATAGGGAGAGTCTTGAGGCATTTTCAGTTAGGAATAAGAAGAGTATGGGCATTTATAACTTGGCCAGCTGGGCATTTATTAAGGGAGTCAGTTATGCTGTGAGAGGAGTATAAGAAGGGGCTTTGGGGGATGGGGGTGACAGGCTTTTGTGGAGTGAAGAATACTGTGAGTGATTGGGAGAGCCGGCGGTCTCTCGAAGAACCGACCAATTGTTACTGTTCTTCCTTTCTTCTGAATGAATACCAGTTTCTTTGCTGATATTTGAGTTGTGTGAATTCTGCTGCGAGTTTGAGAATTGTGTGTAAAGTTTCTGGGACCTAACAGTTTGTCGATTGAGCAAAGCCTTATATGGACTAAAACAGTCCCCCAAAGCTTGGTTTGACAGATTCAGATGAGCCCTTGAAAGGTTCGGATATGTGCAGGCCCAATCAGACCACACCTTGTTTATTAAGAGAGTGGCTTCTTCCATAACTTTGCTTGCTGTGTATGCGGACGATATTGTAGTAACAGGAAGTGATGCTAGTGAAATTGAGTCTCTTAAGCAACTCCTTCATCAAGAGTTTGAGGTAAAAGGTATAGGGGAACTACAATACTTCTTGGGCATTGAGGTAGCTAGATCCAAGTATGGGATTTTTGTCTCTCAACGAAAGTATGTTCTTAATCTGCTAGAAGAAACAGGAAAGTTGGGAGTTAAGCCTACAGACACACCTATTGAACAGAACCACAGGATCAGTGCAAAAGGTGAGCCTCTTGAAGATAAAGCTATGTTCCAACGGTTAGTTGAAAAACATCTCTACCTTTGCCTCACACAACCCGACATCAGTTATGCAGTCAGTGTAGTTAGTCAGTATATGCACTCTCCTAGAACTACTCATCTCCTTGCAGTTGAGAGGATATTAGCATATCTGAAGAGGTCCCCAGGCAGAGGCATTTTGTTCAAGAATAATGACCACATGAAGATAGAAGTCTACACAGATGCTGATTGGGTTGGGTCTGTTGATGATCGAAGATCTACCTCTGGATTTTGTGCCTTTGTAGGAGGTAATCTGGTCTCCTAGAAGAGTAAGAAACAAAGTGTTGTTTCTTGCTCCAGTGCTGAAGCTGAATATAGGTCCATGGCAAATGGTGTGGCTGAGATTCTATGGTTAAGATCATTACTTGAGGAATTGGGTATTGTTTATGAGAAACCCCTAATGTTGTATTGTGATAATCAAGTTGCCATTAATATAGCTCATAATCTAGTACAGCATGACAGAACTAAGCATATTGAAGTGGACCGACACTTTATCAGAGAAAGGGTTACATCTCAAGAAGTATGCCTTCCCTACATCACCTCCGACATGCAGCTTGCAGACATTCTCACCGAGGCTGTTTCAAAGAAGAAGTTAGAGGAAGATCTATGCAAGTTGGGAATGACAAACATCTACTCCCAACTTGAGGGGGAGTGTAGGAAACTGTGGGCCCCACATTAATGTACTCGTGGGACAGCATAGATTTAATTAAGTCTTGATTAGGATTAGCTTTCCTAGTAGGCTTATCTTATCCTATCTTATCTTGCCATATAAACATTAAGTCCTATTACAATTATGAAAGCATGTATATAAATTCAAAGGGTAGGGCGGCTGTTTAAGACAACCAACCACTCTCTTCTCCTAAAACCCTTCCATGATACCTTCTTCTCCATCTCTCTTCTTCTCTTCTTCTCTTCTCCTCTTCTCCTCTTCTCCTCTTCTCTTCTAATTTTATTTTATTTTCTGTTCAAATCTGTAGTCTTGTACGGCTACTTACAAACCAACCTTTGGAATTTCTTCTTTTCTCAGCAAAATACTCCATCCTTAAATATTTGAATGTGCTGTTCTAAGTTTCACACCAACTTGCATATATTGCTCCATCCAGAAAACTTTGAAACCAAGACACAGCTTCGCCTACTAGCAGGACCGTTCCTCTCCTTCCTTCTCTTATCTTAATCGTGAACTCTTTCTGGTAAACAAGCTCTTCCAGCAACAACTCTTTTTTTTTTTTTTCAACCGTCAAGATGTTCCTCCACTTCCTAGCCAGTGAGAAACCTTCAGTGTCCATTCTTGTTGCTTGTTTTACCTTTCTGCTAATTGAAGGTCCATCCCTTTCCTTGCTCTTTCACATCCAATGAGGACCTCTACAACTTCAATACTGGAAAAATCTCCCCATTGTTGTAGCTGTGCAGATAGAACGGAAATGTGCTCCATTCTGCTAAAGATTTCCTCCTATGGCAATAATAAAAAAATATGGTTCTATCAGTCAATGGACGGGAGCGGAGATCTTACCAAAAATGGAAAGAATAATTGAATAAACAGCAAATGTCTAAGGCAAGAGGGACAAGAGAGCGAGAGAGATATGTGGCATTTAAACATGCAAAGGTGAAGTGTTTTCCAAGTTCTGTTAACACAGAATGTTGATCAAATTGTATTATAATGATACTTTTCCTATTTTGTGCAAAGCCAAACGAGAAAACTAACAAATCTATAGTCCATTTTTTCCTTAGGATTATTTTGTCTGCAGTGCAGTTTCATTTGTAGTAGTACTAATTCAGGGAATAGAATTATAGAAACCAGAAGAGTGTAAGTTTTAGTTCACTTTTTGCCTTGGGTTTACTTTGCTTTAAGTTTTATTTTACATTGCAAACAAAGAAAACAAAGTAAAGTATCAAAGAAAAATAAATCATAAATTGCATACAACTCATTTGCACTCCCATACTTTTGCATCAGTGCAAATAAAGTTGCATTGCAAACAAACTGGGCCTTAGGACTCACAGGAAGACGCTTCAAACCATTAACCATGAAAATGAGTCTGGACTTCCTGATTTCAACTTTGAAGACTAGGATACTTATTTTGGTCTTAAATAAAAACAAAAAGCCTTATAAACATGTAACTTAACTGGATACCTTGGTTTTAACCAGGTTTTAAACTGTCAAGATTCTTGAGTAACCACTTTGGTATTGGGTGGTAGGATTTGGACCTGTGCAATTGACTCTAGATTGTGGCTAAAATTGAGAAAGGGGCATGATATGGGGCTCTGTAACTTGGATACCAAGGCCCCATTTTGTTTGGCCCTTCTTTTTTCGTAAACCAAAACCCTTAGGAAACTCTGCTTTGACCAAATACTTGGGTCTCCATGGGAGACACTGATACTTGATCCTGTAGTGTAAGAGGTAAATTGTCAACGTACTGGGAAATTTTAACTTGGTACCTTTATGTGATGATAAAAGTTGTTTAGACTCGAGGACAACTTAGGATCTGAACTCCATACTGGTGAATTGTAAATTGTAACTACCTCAACAAGAACAGGTGGCAAGAGAAGAAATAGTGTTATTAATTTTGAATAAAATGCCAATTATGTAAAAGGCCATTGGTAACAGCTAAAGTGGCTTAACTGAATTTTATTGCTTTGCCTTTTTAGTAAATAAATCATTAAGTAGGTTGTGACTTGTTAGTTCTCCTTAATAGCTGAAAGGTATGCTATGTAGTTTACTATGCCCCTAAATATTTTATCATATAACTCTTTTATCCACTAAAAGGCAAAGCAATATTCTGTTATTGATAAAAAAGGCAAAGCAATAAGTCATTTAGTTCAGCCATTATTAAACAGCCCCTAACCCTCCAGGAAGGCATGACAAGATAGACTGATTAGTTGACTTTCATACTTGAAGTGCACTAATAAGTAATGGCAACAAGAGTACAAGAATTGATAATTAACATGATGTTGGATTGCTGAGAGAGAGAGAGAGAGAGATATGATAAGAGGTGAAAAGAAACTTCAAGACCTACTTCGATTGAGCTCCATTACAAATCTACATTCACTTATCTCTGCTTCTTTTTCTTTGATGTCTTACCCCCATTGCATTATATTAGCTTTTAACCAAGAAAATGTAACATAATAAGCTCTAGAGAACATAAGGTTGCCTAGTTTCCTTTTAACAAGACTGAAATAATTGAGAATGCTATGGAACTTTTCTGATCCAAGTTTCTTCTCATCATTGAAATAGATTCACAAAGTACCAGCAACTGATATGGAGGCCCTTAAATCACCACTGATGGGTATATTTGAAAAACGACGTGCTCGAAAGTTCTTACTCTATGTCCAAGATTACAATGAAAATGATCCAAAAACTCACGAAGGCATGGACCTTACAAGAGTCACAACAAGAGAACTTATTGCGTATGCTCTTTATCCTGGCCTTTTTGTACTGTTATTGTTGTTATTATTATTATTATTATTTTTTAATGGTAGTAAGCTGTAAGGATGCTTGATGTTGTTGATTGTGGCCCTAGATGTATTGCCCCTCCTCCCTTTTCTCCTCCTCCTGCTGAGATGGTTACTACCAGGTTTTTTTTTTTTTTTGAAATAGAAAACCTGTCCCACATATTAACTAGGTTGAGCATCTTAAGGAAGGCCTGGAAAAGACTGAAGGATTAGGTGTTTCAAGCAATTCTGAAAAGTTTATTAGTTGAGTAAATTTATTTTGGACATGGATGAAACCAGGTGGTCAGATCACCAATCACCATCCCATATGGGTCTGACCTGAGAGAGGTTCAGTCATCCTTATCTGATACTCATTATGTATCCTTCATCAATTTTGAAGCATTTTTCATTCTCCTAGTTGATACTAGTTTCCAAAACATGAGTTATGTCATATCTTTCTGGTTTTGATATCTCTTGGAAAATTTAAGTATGTGATAGTTATTACTGTTAAATTGGGTAGGTTTTTTGTATGCATGTTGGTGGAAACTTTCCAATCAGTGAAATGTCAAATAAAAAAAAACAAGTCAGAGGCTCTTTTTTTGGATATCAGCATGACGCTTCTTCACCAAGTGGCCATTGCTTGGTGCATTGGTAAAACTTTGGTGCCAACAAGTGTGAGAAAGATGGTTCTATCCTGAGAGAGCTGCCACTTTAGGCAGAATATTCCAAAGGCTAGGTCCATATCCAGTTCACCCCTCCCAAGACGCTGGATGGGGCCAACATTGGATGATGGCTTGTCCTTTAGCATGAGGCTTCATCACTCATAAATTATAGAAAACCAGAGGTCCGGGTGTATAATTCATTCTAAATGGTTAGAATGGCCTAGCAACTTTTTCTATACATTCTCTACAACTTTTTTTATTTAATTATTACAAAAAGAAAAAATGAAACAAAAGATGGTTCATGAGGAAAGCTTTGTTCATAATCCTATATGAGTAATAAGATGAGATGGGGCCAGAATTGTTTATGGAGGATATATATTTGGTCAATAAAAGGCAAAGATCTGGACAACAAGGTTAAATGATGAAATAGGAATCATATAATCCATGTGGTGAGTAATGCTAAAACAATAACGGAGTGAGTAATGGAGAACTCACAACAGTTCAGTGGAGTGGAGAAGAAAATTTGTGGTGATAATTATCCTGAATGGATATCTTTCCCTGTGTATGAACAATGAAAACTACCAAGACCATGTGGAGTTCATGAAGTCGATGGCTAAGGAAGAAATGGGAGAGTTCGTAGAGGTAGGCCGTTGGAAAAAGACTTTGAAGATTGAAGCTAAGGAGCTCCTATTTGAGGAACATAGATTAAAAGGTCAGCTAAGTTTGAAAATCAGGGAAGCAAAGAAAGGGATGGTGCTGTTAGAAGGTTTAGGGGTAATTGAAGGGTTCAAGGAGTTTGTGGAAGGTGCAAGTAACAAAGGCAAACAAAATAGTTGGAAAGAGTTTCTCTCAGAAACTGGAAGAAGATTTGTAGTAGAGTGTAAGAGAAATTCTAAAGGCTTTTTCGTTTCTTTGACAGGATTTTTTGGCAAGGGTAGGAAGCAGGTGGTCTGTTTCCTGGAGGGAAGGAAAAGTCAGGGCTGGAAGGCAGTTCATGGGGTATTATGTGAACTGATGCAATGGTTGGGTGCTAAAAGAGAAGTAACAGAAAAAAGGAAGATGAGCAGTTCTACTAGCCTGGAGAGCAATAATAAGCAAGAGACTCTTATAGTGACAGCTGGAGCAGGTAAACACAGAATGGGAGTAAACCTACAGAGAGGAGATTGGGAAAGTAAACTGATAGTTAAAGCTTCAGCTTGGATTCCAGATTGGCGGAAAGTTGCAGATTTGTTAACAGCAAGCTTGAAGTTGAAGAGTACGTTTATATTAACACCCTTTGAGAAAGACAAGGCTCTGCTGGACTTGCTTGAGAATAGAGTAGAAGCTGAGGCTTTAAATATCCAAGCTGAACCTGGGAATTTCACAATATCAAGATAGTGTCCAGGATCAAACTCCAAAGATTTCTTTGTCGAGGATGGAGTGCTGGTGCATCTCTTAGGTCTTCCCTTTCACTTGTGGAAGCAAGAAACTGCTGAAGCCATTGCTCTGATGTGTGGAGGATCACTAGGAGGCGTCTTTTGGGGTGACCTCTTTTCAGCTTCCATTTTATTGAATGGAGTAAAACCTGAAGAGATTCCTTGGAAGATAGAGATGTGAGTTGAAGGACAATTCTACTCAATGTGGCTAGCTTCATCCATTGAATCTGCGCTTTGGACAGAGGCTCGTAGGGAGGGAGATGAGAAGGTTGAAGAAGAAGTATTGCGTGGCAATAAAGGATTGGATGGTTCAAACAAGAATAGCACTTTCACTAAAATGGAAAAATAAATGCTGGAGAAACAAAAAGGTAGTATTCAGGGGGAAGGTCTTATGCGTGCAGAAGAAGAAAACAGTCTGGAGGGTGGCTGGACTTTTGCACAGGTTGTAGCTGGTGCCAAAATGGCACTTTCAAACAAGGAGAAGGTGCCGGTTCACGGAAGAACCGAACCTAGGTTTGATAAAACCAAACCGAGCTCTGGGCTGAATGTGCGTGACCCTATTACAAGTCATGTGAAGCTGCAGATCTTTGAGTATGGGCCAAGTAATAAGCTAAAGCTCATGTTGAGGGACCTATATGTTGATAAAAGCCCAAACGGGTCAGCGGGCCCGACCTAGTCATTTAAAAAGGCACGTGAGCCTTTAAAGACTCACGTGACTGGGGATAGACCTAAGGTAGATGACAGAATTCGTCTATTGTTGTCTTCATCAAGTTCTTCGACCTCTGTGAAGAACCTTTCCTAGGCCGCTGTTTTTGAAGATTCTGGCTCAGTTGTTTGGCTCCCTACAGTGGCTTCCAATGAAAAAATCTCAACGATCATCTCCTGATTGTCATCAAGGAGTGTTCTGATTCTGATTTTGAAACTAAGGATACTTTGAGCCTTGGCAGTATCGACTTCTGTCTCGCCCAAAATTATTACCCTTGGCTAAGCGGTCGTTGAAGCGTAGCTTTAGGTGTCGAATCCACAGAGAAGTTAATTAAACCAACAAGAGGAGTTATCGCTAAGAGTAAATAAACTAAAAAAGAAAATGAAAAAATAAGAATAAGAATATTCGAATAAAAGTAACAATGATTAAAGGATGAAAAGTAGTATTGCGATGAACGAGGCTTCGAGATTCACTTGATCGATTTGTTCAATTGTTCTCGACTTTGATTCCTATTTATTACTCGATTGCAAGTTTCACATCCCAAACAAACAATTGGAAAATATAACTTTAAAAACCAATGACAAAAACAGAAGTGTTTGTTCTGAGAAAATTAATTTAAATGAAGAACAGAATGATCTATTCTTACAAGCTATCCAAGAACGACAATATATCAAACCGACAGTATTGCAGTAAAGGACCAACCCATAAAATAAATCTACCCAATCAATTATTTTCTAACAGATTGCACATAAAAAGAGCATGGCTAATCTTATATGGAAATTGAAGAATATAACTTCTGGGTTTATAAAAAAAATAATAAAAGAAGTCTCTTAAGAACAAAATTAAACATTGAAATCTCTCAAGGAATCAAAGTAAAATAACAAGTAAAACTCATTGATCAAGATCCTCCCTAGCCTTGTTGAAGCTTTAGCCGCGTTTGGACGTCATTCTCCCCTCTTCTCTTCTGTGAAAGACTGAGAAAATAGTGCCAAAATAACCTCTGGAAGTCGTCCCTTTTAGGTCAGATTTTTCCTTTTTATTGTGCTGCTAGGCTCCTCAATCTGCTCAGCCCGGATCCGCGTCTTATCCCCCAATTTTCGCCTGGATAGAGATTGATTTAGAAAAAGTTATCAACAGATGAATTGTAGCCCTATCTCTTAGCTGTCCATATCTTCAAGAATCATCGAATTTTGACATCTGTAGAGAAAGATATGCCTAAAATACCGGACCCTGTTCAGAGTAAAACGGGAAACGAATCAGCACTCATACTTGGGTCATGGAACTTGGGCTTGGGTTTCTTGGACCTATGTTTGGGCTTTCCTCCATTCAATTATTAATTCTTTCAGCATAGAAAATGCACAAATAATAAAACTAACATTTTTAAAATTATTATGGAAAAATATTACTTTTATGCTCTTTGTTTTACAAATGTCAATTGTTGAGCACACTTTAG